ATTATTATTACTATTATTATTATTATTATTATACTATTATTATTAATATATTATAGTAATTAATTAAAAAGATTGAAGAATGTTCAGTAGATAAATATAAAAAATTGAGAAACAACAATATGTACATATATATAAGTATGAAAATTGTTTAATATTAATGTTTAGTATACGTGTTAAGACTGAATACAGTTTAAAATAAAAATGTTTTACAGATTGTTATTTTTGAAATGAACTATAGAGATGTTTGTTAAATTTATCTGTTCATGCACATTATGGTATTTGATTTAATAAGTTAGCAAACATTTATCATATAAAGTCGTTCGTACTTTCAAAAACTTGGAAAATGGAATCAGAACGATAAAATATGGCAAAGTAGTTCCATTCTTCTACCTTAAGCTATCCCAGCTAAAATTATACTTACATGAATGCGAATATTTTCTTCCCAACTGCTCTGAAATTCTACAGAGTTCCATAAAAATTCACATCGCATCTTATGGGAGATACTTGGCAGTTTCATCGTCAGAGAAATAAAAAGCTAAACACATTTGGACCAAATTTCCATATTCGAAGTTTTATTCTATATTGTTTTATTTATCGTTCATTTATCTGCTCTTTATAGCTATCTTTATCGTTAAAATGTCCTATTAACTGCCTTATCAAGCTTGCAAAAGGGATTCTTATTGCAATTTTTATCAAACAATTTTCAACATATCTTGTCTATTTTTTAGATACTTTGCCACCTATTTATTATAAGGCTCCTTATTTTTGTTATTAAAGTTTACTTAAAAGAATTACAATTTGGTGTAAAAATGCAGATAACATATTCCTATAATCAGAAAAAGTAAAATTCATAGTAAATTCTATGTAGAATTTCATACTTATTTCAAGGTATTAATACATTATTATACTAAATAATTGAATAAATACTTTATTAGAAAGTATTTGTTAAACATAACAAGAAAATATTTATTTAACAAAAAATTTATTAAATATTTTATTGAAGAGTAAGTATTAATTTTATTTGATAATTATATATTATAATTGAATTAAAATATTTAATTTTTTATATTTATTTATGCAAACACAATTCATGAATTAATAATAATAACACAATATTCCTATATGTTTAATATCTAATAATTATAATCATATTCAATAATTAATAATTAATAATAAATATTAAATACCTCAAACATCTTGTAAAAACATTCTGGACATTTTATCAATAAGGAATAATTTTCATTCTTCACAATATTCTCGTTCCATTCCATTACTTCATGATAACAAGGATCGATTATCGTGAAGTATCCATGTGTAATTTTTATTTTTTACAAAGCTGGCAGAATCGAGATTTTACGATGAAATAGAAATGGAGTGCTATTCTAGACTTCTGTAAGTTAAACACGAAAACTTCGTAGGATTCCTACCTGTTGCCTCATACCGACAAAATGCGGACTAATTGAAAGAAAGAAAATTTTCCTTCGTATTTAAACCCTAATTTAACATGTATAATCTCAAAATAGATAAAAATGAGATCATTTCCTGTGGAACTATTTCTAAGAAAATTAAAAACTAGGAAAGAAAATGTTATATAAAAGTAAAGAAAATTCATTTACTATTTTCATTGATACCAAGTCGACATCTTGTTGCCATATTATTTAAATTTCTTTTTCTACCGCAAAGTTTCTCCTTCTTGAAACAAAATTTAAAAATAGCTCATTGTTGCAAAATTTTATTTTCTGAAGTATCCTTTCTTATAAATGTATAGATGATTGCCACAAAAATCTTCACATCAAATTACATGTACAGAACTCTTTAATAAGGAGTTAAGGACAATGAGTTTCTTCATTTATTCATCTTAAAAGGAACGATGTTAGTTCTTGAAGAGATAAATCTGAAAGACGAATTTAGAAATTAATATTTCAAAGAAAAACATTTATTTATTTGTGAAAGTTTGCTTCGCAGAATATATCATTCACGAACATACCGAATAATAAAAAAAGAAATACAAGACAAATGGAAATAGCATCTGACTCGAAAGTTTGTCTTCACAAATTTTAATATGGCTGACAGATCAACAGCTCTCAATGCGCAGCATCGTATTCACTTTCCCAATATTCTCGAACTTATTCCGTTCTTTGGAAAATAAACCTTGCCTGAATAAACAGATATCCTTTGCCATGTGATATATTAAAAGAAAGCAACGCCATTCCATGAACATTCAGCTTCAGAAATTATAAAAGTACCATTTGTCCATCCAAAATTTATTATTGTTTCTGAAATTGGCCATAAAATATTGTATTACAAAAATACTCAAATAATATGCATCATAGGATAAATATTAATTTCTGTTAATTTTTTATCCCAAACTTAATTTTTAAAAATTTGGAATTTTTTACATTAGACATTTTAAATATTTTTAATTAAAAAATTAGTAAAGTTTAGAATTCGCGTGAATTATTGTATTATTATTTCGTCTTGAATTTTTGTCAGTACTCAATTTCAAAGTAAAAGTAATTTCTAGGAAAATAATAAATTTTAAAACTTCTATGAACTACATACTGCTTTACTTTCATTATTACAGAATTGAAGTGCTGTGAAAAGCGTGCAGTAAAATTTGTATTCTAAAATATACTTCACCGTTGCAAATTTTAAAAATTCATTATAAAATTTGAAATTCTTGCTTAAAAAATTTATTTTAAAATGAAAAAATAATCTTGAAAATAGAAATCCTGCTTTATATTTAAAAACCGAGAGTAAAATTTCAGACATACGCGTGCATTAGTTTTCAATGTACGTCGAATAATAATATTTTGCTTTCGTATAACTCGGCACGGACTGTCAAGTTACAAGAGGGTCACCCGTACACAATACGTTGTTAACACAATAAAAGAACTGGCGCAGTGGTCGTTATGCAGTATAAATGAAAATTCTCCGTAAAATTTACGACGTTGAAGCTACGTCGTAATCTAAAAAAAGCAGCGAAGTAATTTCATCGATCGACTTCTGGATTCTTGTATACCGCTAGTTAAAAAATATTCGTTGTGACGATTCACGCTATTTCTATGAGAGGAGAAATTTCTCGGTTGACTCGCGTCGCGTCGCGACGTGTTAAACGTGGGCATTAGCGTATTTCTCAGTGGACCTCGTGCTTTCAAACATCAGAATTTTCTCGACAGTAAAACGAGACACCAAATTCAAAACTTTTATCGCGGATTGGAAAATGGTTATTTGCTTCTTTTCATTTCGCGTATATTTTGGCCGTGTGTACTTTTAATGTCAATAACCTCTAAAAAGAATAAGAACATCGTGCAGTGTACTTCTACGTCTGAATGGAATTACACGGAATTTTATCTTCACATTTTGAAGTAGGAAAATCATTTTAATTTATGGAATGCACAATGTATATGTTGAATAGTTGTTTGGAAAATTTGCATATTTATAATACTTGTTAAATTTGTAATTTAAGCTAAATTTCTTTTATAATTATAGAAATAATAACCTATTTTCTAATTCTATGAATATTAACTTTATGAATATTTTAATTTTGATTATTATATACATTTGGACTCCTATTATTCAAAATTAATGTGCTTATATATAGTAAGTTTTGTATATAATTTTTCCATATTTATATACTTTTAGTAACGTATAATAATTTTGATAATACATGAATAAACTTCTTGTAATTAATATAGTCTAATTCTATTGGATCTAGTATCGCTAAATTTTCTTGTTTATTATTTATATCAAATTCTATTTATATTTTAAACCAAATAAGGTTATAAGTTCATATGTACTTTATAAAACTTTATTTGTTTCATAACCAAACTTGTTACTATTACAAGAGAGAATGTATGAGTACCTGTAACTTGACAAATTTCACCAGTAATATCAATAATATTATCAATAATAATATCAAAGAAAAAAAGAAATAAAATTATTCAGTACACAGTATAAAATAATTATTAGATGTCGAACAAGAAGAAAAGACAGAATATGGGCAGAGCTTTTAATGCAGGATTACTATACAATAACTGTCAAACCTATAAATGGAAAGAGGGATGAAGGTTGACAGTACTTGAATAAGGGGTCCCTGTGCTTGAAAAAAATCAATCTATCCAGCCCTTTCATATGCTGCTCACAAGTCAGATGCTTTGTATCCAACATTCTTACTTTATACCTGCTTATATACCAAAACTATCTGATTATATATCAGAAAATAAAATGCAACTTTTTGTTTTCCAATTGCAAGCTGAAAACATAAATATTTCATCAAACTTGTTTGAAAAATACACTCTATAAAAAATTTTTATTTCATTTTACAGACTTTCCATGCAAATATCCAAATGTAAATGTTACGTTATTTTATTTTATTATTAAACGTCGAGTGTAGCCTTATGTTTTAAATCTTTAATATCTTCTATATTTTCAGGATCATATACCTAGAAGAAATAAAAAGAGATAGTATATTGAAATTAAACAAAGAAAAATGAAGTATGTTTCCACATTACTTTTCTTCTGATTATGTTATATTTTTAGCCTGATATGCTAGTGCAAATAAAAGGTACGATACTGAGTAGTGACAGGTATTGTTCTAAATACACATAAACTGCAAAACTGTTTATTTTCGTTCATATCAGTGTCTGTCTTTTATTTGTACTATCACGGATTATTCTTTCTCCCTTTCAAATAAAGTAAAAAGCGACCGTGTCGCTGAGTGCTTTCGCCGATAACCTTCTGTACAACGAAACCACATCCACCATACGCGATTCCTCGGTTTCGTATAAAAGCAGGTTAACCTCGGCTAGAGCAGAAATCGATTTGTCGAGTTCCCATGGCGATAGTCCCTTCATAACGCATATCAAACCTTTTTCAGCTATGATTAATTGTATCCAATTGTTGATTGACAAGAATTATGTATACAGAATTTCAATTTTTGGTCTATGGTATAGGTCTTAAAAAATTCTTCCAACAAAATTTTTGTATTAAATTTATCTGAAATTTAATACTTAAGAGGAAGATATGCATGCTTCTGAAGAATTTGAAAAGAGTGAATTGTAAATTATAGCATATTAACACTGTATAGTAAATATCATTGTAGTTTACATTACCTATATTAAAATAACTATAGTTTATATTACTATTAGTGTAGTTATAATATTGACACAGTTATTTAATATTCTATATTAGTATAGCAAATATTACTATTGTAATATATATTATAAAGCTTATATTATTATTAGCATAATTTCAATGATGTATAACTGTAATTATTTAATAGTGCACTACAAATTAAAAGTATTAGATTGAAGGCAATAGAAATTTAATATAATTTTTAACTAAAAAAGTACTTAAAATGTGATATTTGTATTGTTTTAAAAAAGAACACATATCGAATATAGATATTTAGCTTTAAACTAGAATGAAGAAATGAATTGAAATAAAGTATACCATAAAATGCTTTTAGAATAATTGCAGAGTGTCTCAAATTTATCTCGTTTCTCAGCATATTTCGAGAGTAAGAATAAAAAGTTATTACAAAGTTAGAACAAAAATACGAAATTAAAAGTTATAAGGAAACTATAATGTACTGACTTCATATACTTTTCGTATATATATGTACACGAGTACTCATTTTCTGAAAGTTTATATTTTTTGCTTTTCCATTTATATGCGTTTATTAATAATTAAATGTTCATATGCTCTTTTTTCGGTACTGAGGAAAATTACTCCAATCTTTGCACCAGAAAGACTGCCAATTTCGAGGGTACCCTAGCAAAAGGGTTAAACGAGTATTACCCTCAATATGCGATAAAGGTAGAACGATCCATTGTCCCTCAAGATCACTAGACATCACGTTGCTAGATTCCATCTTGTGTGAAATTTTTAGAGAAGAGGTTTAAGTAGAGAAAATACACACCAAGAATTGTTCTAGATAATTCACAATACATTCACTGCAACGAAAAATAATCAATCAACGAAAATATCATAATGATGAAATTTATTGTGTGTATACGCAAGAACGAGCAACCCTCTGAAAGGGTATTAAAGTAAATGTCACATTATTTCTAAGCCCAATGAAACAAAAAAGCCATTCGTATTTTTATTATATATTTTTAACAAAGTATTTATGAGACTATATGTTTATTAATATTATATATATTTATTATATTTTGTAAGAATTTGAGACACCCTGTATGTAAAGAGTCACTGAAAGTAAATTATGGAAATTATAAAATTTGTTAATTGATTAGAATTTTGTAAGAAAAGGAAGGAAATAATGGAAATACATACTTGCTGAATAAGCATCCGTTGGTTGGCAAGATAATCCCGACATTGTTTCTGCGAGGAAGAAATGGATGGTGGTTGCGGGAAAGTTTTATCTTCTGGATCTTCTCTTAATTTCAGAAACAAAGAAACCACCAGGATAAACGGTAGCGATAATACCGGCAATTTCAACTGTACAGAAAATTATTTATCTTTCATTTAGATTATCGAAAGTTATTCGCTTCGATGACATTTCAGATTCACTCGAATCTTCAGTATCTAAAACGCGAATCTCTTGTTCACATCGTAAAACTTATCTCTGGTAGTTCTTCAGTAATATCAAACGAGTAATCAAATTGTATAATTCATAATTAATTTATTAGAAATAGAAATTTAAGTAGAGCTATCATAGTGTTTTCATGTGGTAGAAATTATTATATAATAATGATTAAGTAAGAAACTTGTTAAGCAAGAACTATAGCTTCTGAACTATGAAAATTATATTAAAGTAGCAAACTTAATTTTAGCAAATGAAATAATCTTGCAATCAATATGGTTTGTAAAGAAGAATTTACAAAATTATTTTATAAAAAAACTCTATTTCTAAATCGTTGAATAATTAATTAAAAATAAATTAGAATCAAGAAACTTGTTCTACAAAATAATTATTCCTAGTCCACAAAGGATATAATACCAATAGTAACAATTTTTAATTTCTAGCAAAACTACAAGTATGGTATAAAAACGAACTGAGAATAGAAAAGAAGAAACATGAATTTAATTACCCCTTTAAAGAAGAACAATACTGAATACTGTACGATCGTTGTGTATACAGTGGCTAAAATTGTGGCCATAATTGTCTGTCCATTAAGTGCAAAGAAGGTTCCTCCTAATGCAGCAGCTGTTAGAAAAGTATTGAAACCCCATAAACCCGTGTATATTTCGTTAACATCTACACCAAGCATTAAACCTAAAAGAAATAAAAAAAGTCATGATAAATATCTTCCTTTGAAAACCAATTGCTTGGTACTAAGCTCCAATCTCACACTCGATAAATTCAAGGTTCGTACACAAAAATAGTATAATACCTGTCAATGAGCCGAGCAGAGAGCCCAAAAAAGCAAAGCCAGCCGTTGTTGGGGAAAAAAGTAGAACAGCTAGATAAACGATGGAACCAGTAACAACGCTTTCAACTGCGAGCACCTGCGACGCTGATACCATGACGCCATGAAACATCTGAAATATGTGCAGCATGCAGTAATGTATTACCTCAATTTCATTAGCAATATATTTACGGGGTGCCTTCACCATGTTACTCTGGCAGCATTTTCAGAAAATTAGCAATTTTAAAGTGTTGAAAATTAGCAATTTTTAACTAATTGTTAGGTGCAACTAATTGCTAGGTTATATTGTAACTAATTTAAGTTGAGTCTCTCAGCAAAAGAATCATGAAATTATGAAGTAGTATGAGAAATGCACAGTGTGCCAATTTTCTTCACCGATTACAAGAAAACGAAAGAAAATGACACACAAAGCTTTTTACCATATTGCAACAGAACTGATTTTCCCTCAAGAGACATCGTCAGTTTTCCAACTTATAGCATTAAGAAAATTTGAGTTTTGTTTACCAGAAGGTTCAGATTTCCGGGGAATGTGAATATTCGGAAACGCGAAATATTTTCAGCAGCATGACGCATGATTGAATTGTGAAAAGTGGGGCACGTGGAAACTTTACCATTCCCCAGTCAATGTGGACCCCCGTTGCATTTTCTCCGATGAAACTGACATTGCCTGTCGTCGCATCACTTGTTGCATTGTCCTGGAAACAATGAGAATGTACTGTATAAACAACTGATCATGTACATGCCCGCGACACACATAGCACGTGCATGTATACGATCGCGATATCTTTGTCGAGTGCATATAACCCTGTGCTCAAAACTGGGCTAGTTCGTCCATTGATATCCACGACCGAGAGAAAACTCGAAATAAAACTTGCTAAAAAATGTCGATAGAACATTCTGATCTTACGTCTAATTTATTTAATTCTACGTCTATGGAGGATCGAAGAATTTCGAGATCAGGTGATAATAATAAGCTGTGTCATCTAGTAGCTTGCTGGGGTGAGCCACTATGGTAGTCTTGGGATTCAAGAACAAGAGTTGGACTAAGCTAATAATTCCTCGGACTCAAAATTGAGAATTTCAAGCTTTCTTGGTTAGAGTTTGCGTTGTACCATAATTCAAAGCTGTTGGATGTAAGCTATTTCCAATGGGAATTATTCCAGCGATATTCGAATGTATCTACTGGTTGCGAAATTGCATGTATACGAGCTGTGACCATGTCATGGATCATTAATCACTAGTCACTCATTTCTAATTGATCAATTGGATAATTAAATAGGAATTATATATAAATGTCCAGCCAACACTGGAACTAGCTTCTTTAGAGATTGCTTGGGCCAGTTATACTGGAGTGTGCATGTTGCTTGCCAAATTACATGTATATGAACTGTGACCATGTCTGATCATTGTTTTCATCACTGATCACTGGTCACGTGTTTTCACTTGGCCAGCTAAACAATTCAATAGGATTATAATGGAATTATAATAGAATACTATATGCAAATGTTTAACCAATATTACACGTAATTTCTTCAGAAACCAGTTCCTCTATTAATATTAGAATTTGTCTGCTGGTTGTCAAATTGGATATACACGAGTGTAGAACAGATTATGTATCATTAATCACCAATCATATAATCTTAGTTGGCTAACTGAGCAATTAAGAGGTTGAAAGATATATATTACAGATGTTGTATACATTAATTGATAGCTAGTACCCCGGCTGATATTGCTTTTTCATTCTCACGAATTTCTTATATTTTCTACAGAATACAGACCATTTTTCAATTGTTCGATTGCTCGATTAAAAACATATGGTTATTGATCAACGAGCCACGACATGGTTGCAGCTTGCATATATATTTGGCAACCACGTGCATATGCCAATATCAACGAGTCAATTGACCTATGAAGGAGCTAGCTTGCGAAATCTCGGGATGTAATTCCTATTTGACATGGCTTACATTCGAAAGCCTGCAATTGTATCCTCAGAATACAAATTCAAATTCCTATTTTCGTAGTGATTACACGAAACAAGTTTCTGTTAACACGTTGGTTTAGTGTCCATGTTTAATAATTTTATGGTGCATAATGCATGCTCTTGATAGCAACTAAGACTACAGAGCTTCTAGTTCATTTTACTATCTTCAATTCAAATTATAATCTTCACGTTATGAATGGTATAGTTAAATTCATCGATTCTTATTCTTTTACTAATGATTCTGAAGCATCCAAAATTTATTGCTCCAATAAGACTGTTCTGACATTTTCTATCTTCCCTCTACATTCCACATGCATTCAGAAAGAGATCAACAGATCTGACATGATTTCCATCTTT